TGTGAAGGGGCCTGGCGCTATACACAGGAAGGAGGCGCTAGGTCCAGACATACACAGACGAAGAGGAGGGGATCAGACGAAGAAGAGGAAGGGGGAGATGGGAAAGTCGTCAACACCAAGTCTCGTTACAAGTCCCAAATAATCCCTCTTCAAAATGTCTGAAGTCCAACGTCGAGTCTGGATCCAAATGTCACCAAGCTCTCTCTCTCTCTCTCTCGTAGTCTGCTGATGCAGTGAAGTCAGATATCGAGAGGGTGAGAAGGAGATGGTGGACTGAGAAGAGGAAGAAGAAGAACTCTCTCTCTCTCATGTGCCAGGTTCTAACCTGTGAAGATGGCGCTGTGCTGCAGGTACCTCGAAGACGAAGCTGGAGCAACGGCGCTGCAGGTAAGTCTCTCTGGCCTCCGCCCAATCTCTCTCTCTATGGTACTACTCTAGCTGCTATGGCGCCCAGCGCTGAAGACTACAGCTAACGCTACTAGCGCCCAGCGCTGAAGACTACTGCTAACGCTACTACTACTCCTGCAGCGCTCCTCCAGAGTGCTGCTGCCGAATCCTGAAGACTACCTCCTGCCTCCTGAACTGCACGTGAAGTGCCTGGGAAGTACCTAGGAACTACCTGCCTGCTTGCAGGGCGGGCCAGTCCTATATAGTGCTGGCCCGTCCAGGAGGCTGCTCTTGCCAATGCCGGAACGTGCCAGACCCTGGCGTTGAAGCTCATCCAGGGGTTGTCTTGAAAACAGGCCCGAAATGGCCTGTGCTAAAACCCTGGTTTGTTGCCTGAGTTTCAGGGCAGGTCTGGACGCACAGATACTGGCTGGTAACTAGTAGGCCCTGCCTTTTGGACGTTTCTACAGGGCAGTATGAAGGTGGTCACGTCCAGAACCTAGGCAATATGTGGGAAGACGGGCACCAAGTGCACATATTCTGACCCGGCTACTATTGGGTGGCTGCCAGCCATACTGGACAGTAGAGCGCGAGTGATGGCAGTGTGGCTGGCAGCCTCCCAGTAGCAGCCATAGCCAGCACCAGTGTGTGTGTGTGTGAGAAAGAGAGAGGCGGAGGAGGTGCATGCTGGAAAGGAGAGGTCCCTAGAAGAGGGAGGAGACCCATGTGAACGAAGAATGGAGAGACATGATGGTTCCTGAAGTGAGCTCCAGCATTGTACATTCTTCAAATGATCATTAGCAGAAGCAGCATTTTGTTGTGCACCGTGCAATTAGGCAGTAGTGGCAGGCTAAGTGATCACATTGGCTGGTGTAGACACCGGCATCTGCATTATGTAAACAACCTTCTAAAGTTTACTGGCTGCAGGCTCCGACCCTGGTGGCCGTGGCCCTTTTTAGATCATTCGATGGTGGTATGTATGGGCTGGTGTTGCAAATGCGGACGTGTGGATTGTGGGAACCCGTAGATCTGCATCAGTGCGCAGAACGGATGTAGGACGTGTGATAAGATGTGTCAGTACTTACGATAAGTCAGAGAGCGGTGTCAGAGAAAGTTTTCACAAAGAGGAAAACTGAATCGCGCTGTGAGAAAAAAAAAATCCGAAACCGGAAAACGGCACGTGTGAACACGAATGTCGAACAGCGGCCGTTTTCTTCTTCTGCAGAGGACCATGGAAGGGGAAACCTGAAGGAACTGAGGAGGAGGAGACAGCAGAGAGTCAGTGAAGTGAGTATGTAATGACTTCTTCTTTCAGGCGACACACTGTTGCAAAACGTTAGCATAGGTCTTCCTCCAGCCATTGACCGATTCGTCATTGGGAACACTGATTTGGTATTCACCTTTGCAGATGTGGAATAGTATGCCATGTGGGGGGTTATCCCATAATCTGAGTAGCGATCAGGATTAGTCTGAAGACTCTGAAGGGTCTGGATTATTTTGTTCCAAAGAGGGTCTTTAGAGTATCACTTCCCACATCCGAGTCTGTGAAAATGGCACCGAAGAAGTCAGATCTTCGAGAGAGTGCATCTGTTACTACATTGTACTTACCTTTACTAATATTCAATTCAATATCAAAGGTGTCCATGTTGGAGGACCACCTGGAAAGCTTGTTAGACAGGCTGGGTTGTCTTCAACCATTTCAAGGTTTCGGGGTCTCAATATACCTTGAAATGTCTCCTAAACAAGTAATGCTTCCCAGTGGTGAATGCTTCTAGCAATGCAAACAATTCTCTCTCGTATGTAGATTCGGGCACTTTCTCAGAGGGAAGGCGTCTGGATGTGAACTCCACAGGTCTATAGCCCTTCCCATCATCTTGCTGCAAGACTGTCAGCAGAATAAGCCTTCCCATCAGAACCCTTTGAGACTCCTTAGAGCATTACCTATTCCGTATGTAGTGTCATATTATACAGTATACAGCATGAGTGTGTGCACCCGGACAAGAGCCGTGGCCTTTGGCCTACACAGAGGCAAGGGCGTATGAAACAAAGTCAATTATTGTAGTAACAGATCAAGTCCGGTCTCCCTTGAAAAAGGTAGCAAGTAGCTAAAAGCAAAACCAAATGAAAAAATAACATAAAAGACCAATGACTCAGAGATGAGTACACGTACGATAGATACCTTTGTTTGTATGTAGTGTCGTATTATACGCGGAAGGCCCAGGGGAGTAAAACTCTATAGACATCATGAGTCTAACGAAGAGTAGGAATGGAAACAATCAAGTCATGGTAATTGTAGATAGATTTTCAAAGCATGTAATGTTCATTCCATCACTGGATGAGGCAAAAACAGAGTTAGCTATCCAAAGTTTCAGATGCATTTGGTGTCCGGCAGATGAACAGACTATGCCAGCAACTCCTCAGGGAACTACCATCCAGCATATCCTACCACTGACCTTCTACCCCCCAGTATATCCTTCCACTGACTTTCACGCCTGCCCATGGCCGTCTCTCTATCCCTACCTTGTCCCTGGCTGAGGCACAGCCACACACACACTGCCAGCTATGATTTCCAGCTTGAACGACAATGCCTAAACAATTGCGGCTGGTGTGCCTCTGTGTTGCTAGCATCCAGGAGCCACGTAGCCTGACGTCTGTCTACGCCATGCCATGCCACAGTCTACACCCGAACCGGTCCTGTCCGGCCTGTGGGGGTGGCCACTTACCCTAGGCAACACGGCCTCCTCAACTGAAATTTCCCTGCAACCCAAACACTGACTGGCCTCTAGTGCCATTCAATATTAGTCTGCTCTGGCAGTGAGTACTGAGAACCCTATGAAGTTTGTCTTTCCTCTGTCCTGAACTCCTCGCCTTCCTCCCTCTCCTTGTGTTACTCCAAAGAAAGCCAAAGTAAACATAGCGAAGAAAGGACTCTACCTTGTCTACAAGCAAAAGGTAATATGGCGGTTCTATTGTGCCTCATGTTGTTTGCTATAGATGTAAAGCTGTTTCGATTTTGGATTTGCTCATCTTAGTGTGCTTCGTTGTTTGCTATAGAGGTGAAGTTGTTTCAAGTTTGGGTCTGCTCATCTGGGTGGACAAGGGGCTGTTGTGGTGACAGATTACAAAACATAGCCAGCAGAGTCAGCACACGGACCCAGACTTAGACTCAGGCAAGCACACAACACATGCAAACTAGTGGTTGGTCACACACACAGCGGTTGGCATGCTAGCGTGCAGCAGCCATGTTGCCTGTGACATGTCTACACCTTGCCGTTCGATGCGGCAACTGCAACTTCAAGAGCTGGATGTGGTGTTTGCACAGTCCACACCCGAACTGGTCCTCTCCGGTCTGCGGGGGTGGCGATTTATCATGGGCAACACCCGCTTGTCCACTTTGTTTTCGGCAGCCCAAACACTGACCGGTCTCTTGTGCCATTTTATAGTCGTCTGCTTTGGAGGTGAATACCGAGAACCCTTCTGAAGTTCGTTTTCTTTCCCCCTGTTCTGTTTCTTCTTCCCCCTCCTCCCTCCTCCCGTGCAGAACTACTGAAGGCATATGAATGAGCAGCATGATGAGAAGACCATTATAAAGAGAACAGACAAAATATACCCCCCCCTTTCCTCTGCGTCCTTTTTAATAGCATGCAAGTGCACCGTTAGGGCACATGGGGATGTGGGCAGCTCGATCTCAACCACAATCAGCGTGGTGAGCCGTATATGTGTGAGGCACAGCAAAAGGGGAGCTTCAAGAAGAAATAAAAGAGAAAAACGAAAAGGCCCAAGTAAAGAAAGCAAAGAATGCGCTTCACAAGGAAAAGGCAATGTAACGGTTTTAGTGTGCTTCAGGTTGTTTGCTATGGAGGTAAACTTGGTAAATCTGTTTCGATTTTGGATCTACTCAAAGGGGTTGTTGTGGTGGCAGTTTACAACACACAGAAACCCTGCAATGATGTCTCCCTCCAAAAGGAGGAAGGTACTGGATGCTTGGGAGGCCGATCCGGTGCCTTCCTCCTTTCGGAGGTAAACATCTACCGGACTTCCGAAATTTACTCGGCCTCTAAACTTCTAAAGACTTAACTTTTTGTCTTCTTCTGCCTACCTACCACTACTCAAGTGTTTTCTAACCTGCGCGGGCCTAGCCTACCCACTACTTAAGTGTTTCCAACTACAAGGGCCTAGCCTACCACTATGTCCCCGTTGCAACCCCATGCAAGCACGGCCACAAGTACCAGGCCCGAGGGCCTTTCAAACATACAAGTACCCTGGCGGGTCACACACACCCCAGCAATCATGCACTCAGGCAAACACATGGGAACCAGAAAGCACGCACACGCACAGACTTAGAAATCTCAGCAGAAAGCGGGAACCTCAGAAATCAGAGTTCTCAGACTGTGGTTTTGCAGGTCATTGAAAAGAAGAAGAAGAAGAAGAAGAAGAAGAAGAAGAAGAAGAAGAAGAAGAAGAAGAGGAGGAGGAAGAAGAAAAAGAAGGAGGACAAGAGGAAGACGAAAAAGAATAATGTATTGATGCATGAGCCGTTGTGAATACTTCCCCTTTGTGTGTGTCATCTGGTTGGGGGGGGGGCGCGCTGTGGTGGTAACTGTGGTTCATAGGTTGCCCCCCAGCTCCTGACGAAGAAAGAGAAAGAAGAGGTGACAGGGCTGGTTGATACAATGATAACGTTAGGAGTGCGGTACTCTACAAAGGGAAGCACTGCAGCAGGTTCAGTAACACCGTATAGTGATGGGGGCATGGATTTTCAACAGAATTTTCCTCTAGAACCTGCAATCAATATCTTTATAAAGTATAAGGTTAGTTCAAACGCAGAAGCCTGATCCTGACCCAAACCCATTCTAGCCTCCAATCGAGCATCGGTCCACTGGTGGATTGGCCATGTCATTTCTGTTTCTTTAGACTCTGTGCATGTGTATGACTGATGCTGTGAGAAGGGAGCTTGATTTCACACTCCAGGCCACAATCTCTGGCAAGATCCCATGCTCAACCCTATCACAAAACGGGTTCTCTCACAACATAAAACTGATTCTGTCGATTGTGTGTGTGTGTGTGTGTGTGTGTGTGTGTGTGTGTGTGTGTGTGTGTGTGTGTGTGTGAGAGANTGTGTGTGTGTGTGTGTGTGTGTGTGTGTGTGTGTGTGTGTGTGAGAGAGAGAGAGAGAGAGAGAGAGAGAGAGAGAGAGAGAGAGAGAGAGCCCCTGATAGATGAAGGTCAAGAGGGCTTTTGGTATTTCCGCATCCTACAGATCCATGCAAAATCTACTGGAAATTTGGAAAATATGCATTACGCTCCATGTATGTCCTCATTTTTCTCTCGTCCTTTCATGTTTACATTGTTGTGGAAGTTTCTGCCAAGGCTACTTGTAGTCATCCCCACTTTATAGCCGAACTCGACAGAGTTGAGAACTGCATGTCTGCCACTGCCTACTTTGTGTGTGTGTTATTTGAAACCATGCCTATTGTGGACCTGGACCATGGACCAGTTCACGCGTCGGCATCTGCATGGTGAAGATTGAGTCTGTACGTTCGGGTTTGATCCCGAAGTGATCTGGAACAGGAGGGCGCCCCAAGAGATATTCAACTTCTATCTGGATTTTGTTTCCTCTCGAATTTGTTTGGGGGTTTCTATTTTCCCCCTAAAACACTCATTTTATTATATAGCTGGGAACCGAGCGCAGCCCCTAGATGATATTGAGCGACCCTGTGAGATGAGCCAGACCAACCGGCCTAGCAGAAATCCGGATTGGTTGCGGGTTTTGAAATGACCCTCAGGGCATACTCACACAAGGCCCTCAAAATCGCAGAATCACAAAATCAGTGGCCAGATTGAGTCCCTGTGGAAGGACTCCTCGATCTGGCCGCTCATTTTGTGATTCTGCCATTTTAAGGGCCTAGTGTGAGTATACTCCCAGACAATAGTTGTTTGTATCGCAATTCTGCACAATGTTTTTGGCGCTTTTGCAGTCTTTTTTAATTTCTGAAAGAACAAAAACTGTGAAAATATTCCATCGTTAATATGGGAAAATTGTTGAAATGCCCCTTAAATTTGGGATATTTCATCAGATACCCCTAAAAGTCATGGGTATTGCGAAATGCCCCTATGACAGTCGTGAAACTTTGAGAAATACTCCAGGCGCCAATTGGACCCCCCATCTTGTGCATATACGGCTACCAGGCCCTGTGCTTGTCCATACGACCCGACGTTTTTGGCCACTGGACCCTTGGTGGAAAATCTCCACTCCTTTCCCGTCCCCATCTCCATCTCTACCCCTTCGTTTTCCATCTGTCTCCATATGTCCATCTCTACATCGTTCCTTGATAACAAATGTCTACAAGCGATCTTTCGGGTTGGATAAAGCCACAATGAGGGTGCGTTGTGTTCAGGAGAAGATGGTAATGTGGGGCAGGGGGGAGGGGGGAGAGAGAGAGAGAGAGAGAGAGAGAGAGAGAGAGAGAGAGAGAGAGAGAGAGAGAGAGAGAGAGAGAGAGGGCATCTTCCTCAGAACACAACGCACCCTCATTGTGGCTGTATCCAACCAGAAAGATTGCTTGTATGCTTTTGGTATCGGGGTGAATTGTCTTCGGGGGAAGACTGTAGCACGCGTGGTATTGTCTTCCCTCTGAGCACAATGCACCCTGATAATGAATGCACACAAGCGATCTTTCTGGTCCGATACAGCCACAACGAGAGTGCATTGTGTCCGGGTGAAGACGGTAATGGAGGGAGGGAGGGAGGGAGGGAGAGAGAGAGAGAGAGAGAGAGAGAGAGAGAGAGAGAGAGAGAGAGAGAGAGAGAGAGAGAGAGAGAGAGAGA